CAGCTGTGTGCTCGCCCGGGATCCTGTTAGCTGTCTCCCTGGCCGGCTCCCGGCCCCGCAGCCTGTGGGAAGACGGATCAGGATGGTCTCATGAGACAGGGGCGGGGGGGCGCCTCCCCCCCGCACTGAGGACGGGGAGACAGCTAAAGGGATCCAGGCCGAGCACACGGCCGACGATGCCAGCCTGATCTACAGTAACATCCCCACCATGCCCATGGTATGTACCTGGGGGGAGTGGGGGACCAAGCCCACATGCCCTTCCCACTCTGTCTCTGCCCCCCTCCATTTCTTCTCCTCCCTCCCCACGCTTCACACCACCTTAATGAATGCATGAATATAAGCCAGGCTTTGAGTAGGGCACCCAACCCTCCCATGCATGCCTGGTACAAGAAATGCACCCCTGCCACCAGCCTGGGCTCCCGGAACTGCGTGGGATTGGCTCCTGCATGCAGAAAATGCACCTCATCCCTCGGGTCTCACTTAGAGGGGAGGACATGCAGCGAATGCATTCATGTGAATTCACAAAGTGCACAGGACTAGATTGGGGCTGGAATGCTGGTAACTCCCGGGCATCTCCTGGATGCACCAACCGGGCAAGAAATGTATTTCTGCAGCTGCCTGCTATGGTATCAGGTGCTTGTCATCAGACAGTGCATGCAGCATGCTCTGTGTCTGTTGCACCCTTCAGAGAATGCCTCAGCACAGTCTATGCAACCACGAGATGCATGGGATCAAATCATGAATGCACAGTGCATAAAATGCACACAGCCCCAGGTGTCTTGCTAATGCATGGCCAGTACAGGCAATGCAGAGAATGCATTAACTTACCTGGTGCTGCCCCAAGACGCATGAGATCAGTTCGCACATCCTCGGAGCATGAAATCCAGTCAATACGTTTGCTGAACCTGTTCTGTGATGAGATGCATGAGATGAAATCCTGCATGCGTGGTGCATGAAATGCACACACCCCCATGCATCTTGCTAATGCATGGCCTGTACAGCTAAGGCAGTGAATGCATTAACCGAGCTGGTGCTGGCGTGGGATTGGCTCATGCGTGCAGCGAATGTGAAATACCCAATCCCACCTCTCTTGCTAGTTAGGGTTACCATTCGTCCGGATTTACCCGGACATGTCCTCCTTTTTGTGCTAGAAATAGCCTCCGGGGGGAATTTGTAAAGCACTCAAAATATCCGGGATTTCCCCCTCCCCC